GTGTGCATGTGAGAAGATGAGACAGCCCATGTATTGTCATCCAAGTGTAGATATGCATGCTGTATGCAGGTATGGGTACAGCATACCTGCACAAGAACATTAGATGCCCCAAGTGTTGAGCGGTATAAGCTGCCAACTCTACCCCTACATTTGAATTCAACCTTGTGACGCATCCCAAAATCCCAGAGGAATCTTCCATTCTGCTGCATGAGCTTTATTCTAGCTGGACCTAACATTAGCATCTATCTGTTCTACTCTCCAAGGATTCAGTTATCAGCATGTCACTGCAGATACTGATGCATCCAGACAAGGAGTCCACACAACTAGCCGATACTTGAAAAGTACTCATTCCCGGCTGAGGGCTCAATAAATTCACACCACAGAATAGCAACACTTTTAAAAATCTTACATTTTTAAGATGAAAAAATATATATACATATATATATATAGATGAACTGAGATAATATACAGTTGGTCAAAATGTGAAAGTGAACTTCATAGTAGATCACACTTTTGATGTACCTTAAGGGGTCCCAAATGACAGCAATGTCTAAAATCTCACAACTAAATTCTTTCTTCTTCTACCTCAAACTCTGCAGAATGATATTCCAGATAATTATCCAACATGTGGCTCTCCCAGTAATGTTGGATAGAAACGACTGGGGTAATTTTCTGCCGCGGTGCTACTGCAGCAGCAGCAGCAGCCGTTTTCGTTCCCTAATTGCATCTGGCATCCATCCACCACTCAGTTTGACTTCATTATGAGATGGAGGTATTCTCTCTTCAATGACTTCTACTCAATTACTCCTTCAAGTTCCTCCTTACAGTCACACTAAACTATGCATATTGTAATCACAGACAGCTTTTATATCAGCTTGGATATATTACACCCTATTGTTTGATTCAGTGGCATGGTCATTTAGGCATACTTCCTGCCCTGGTATTGTTTCATCACTTACCTCGTGATCTTTTTAAATTCTCATCTCTTTGATTTCTTGTTTTTTTTTATATATATTTCTATTTTTAAGTGTTAAATTCATAAGGTGTTCTATTTACTCCCTTGTGATAAAATCATTCACCCTCTGTCTGCACTCATTTGTTTGACTTTGTTCGAAAAGATATCTGGATGCCAAATTGTCTCCACATGAGGTGAGTCAAAACTTTCAAGCTGAGGTAATACAGGATGTTTTTCCCTTGCTAAAACACAACATTTAGCTTTAAGTGTGGTTCAATACAAGGATTTAGATTACTCAGAGGGCATGTTTAGCACAGTTTTACTGTAGTTGCTATGCAACTGTTTAAAATAGCTATACTAACATAACAGAAAATGAGAAATTAGTTAAAGTTTACATTTCTCAGCTGGCAATCATATATATTCTCCAAGTGTCTCATTTTTAGTCATCTTCCCACCCAGGGAAGCAATACACTACAACAAGCATAGAACGAGGTAGAGTCTGCAAGAGGTGCATCGGCATTATAAAGTGTGCTCTTACAGATTCAGCTAACATTTTGCATAGGTTAGAGTTCAGTGGAACTTTTTATGCTGTCCATATTGACCAAAACATTTTTTTGCTTGTTATATGTGTGCCTCTTACTACTCTTACTGTTCGCCTCACTACCTCACTACTATTTATACAATATTTATATTTATATAAATCATGATACATGCAAAGAGTGGACAGCTGAAGACCTTTTCCTCAGAGAAAATCTAAGAATCAGTTCCTGCCCAAGTTTCAAGTGGGAGTTGAAACCACAAGTTCAGCACAAACACTCTAACCACAAAGCCACTGAACCAATTTAATTAATTAAGCGCCAGTACCAATTTCCACACCAGAGATAAAGTTTCAGTAATTATTACCTGCCAGCATTTATAACTTAATTGAACATTTTTAAAGTGTAATGGGAAGTTCATTTGATTAATACGGAGGCAGAGGAGAAAGAAAGATTTCCACCAGCATAGCATAAGCTAAATTTGAACTCATACTGTTGTAGTTATTTTTGGTATCTCGGTAATGTCTTTGAGTCTAGTCAATTACCTCTGCACCTCCGTGTGGCTCTTTCAAGCCAACTCTGATCTTGCTCTGAAGACTTCTGTTTCAGAAAGCCACACAGATTTATTCAGTAATAGCAGATGCATTATATATTAAAGATTCTCTTTATTCTCCCAGTAAACATTACCCCTTTGCCATTTGAAGTGGTTTACTTTATCTAATCTCTGCCCGTATCTCTTCTCTTCACAGTGTGCTTCAAAACACAATGCAAACTCTATACTGCATTAATATTCAAGTCTATAGTTAAGAGACACGGCTCTGGAATAACTTCTATTCAAATGTAC